GTTGTCATGAGACTTTGAACAATATATCACGCCTTGATCGATTCCGACAAGGATCGGGGTGTGACAGCTTGAGCACCTACCACATCTTCGGGGTCTTGATTTATACGAAATAGACCTATTGTTTGGCTTAGATTCGATAGGCGTAGGATTTGAGGTGTTGACGTCTGCATTCTTTTGATTCTCTTTTGGACGTCTGTCATCTTCTGGAAAGAGCTTTCCTTTCCCCTTTAAGTCTGCGGAAGAATGAGAATTAGAGTGAGAAGCGTTAGATTTAGAGGCGACATCGGATCTTCTGTTGAGTTGAGGACCGAAGCTCTCCTTTCGGTTGCTATGAGGTTGAGGACCGAAACTCTCCTTTCGGTTGCTGTTGGGTTGAGGACCGAAGCTCTCCTTTCGGTTGATGTTGGGTTGAGGACCGAAACCGTTCTTTCGGTTGATTTGGTTCTGAGGACCGAAACCGTTCTTTCGGTTGATGTGGTTCTGAGGACCGAAACCGTTCTTTCGGTTGATGTGGTTCTGAGGACCGAAACCGTTCTTTCGGTTCTTTTCAGTCGAGGGACCGAAACCACCTTTTCGGTTCCTTATTTCCTGCGAACCGGAGCTTTCCTTTTGGTACCTTACCTCCTTTTGTTTGGAAGGTTTTTCATAGCGAACATAGTTAGGATTTTGAGATCTCTAGAACTGCTTCCTTTCGGTAAGGTTTTTCTTTTACCTCACATTTCTTTGATGCTTTCTTTCTTTCACCTGTTTTGGGTTTCTGTGAATGTTAGCCTTTTTCTCAGAACTTTGAACATTAACACTGCACTTAGGTGAATTGGTTTCGTTTGAAATAACCACTTGCTCATCTGAAGAGTTTTTGGTCCCACTTGTGCTCGGCTCATCAAAGCGAGTTGGATCATTCAGCGGTTCGGCAACATATCTGCCTTTCACTCTCTAGGAGGTTTCCGATGTTACTGGATCAACGAAGCCTTTGTCTCCATCGTTGAGATCGCTCCGACTAAGAAAGATGAAAAGACTGGAAAAGTGGATAGATGGAGCACCCAACAGCTCAAAAATGATATCGCCTGTCCTCGAGACATTGGAAATCGAGAGTTGCGCAAAGATTATTCTTTTAGATGAATGTCATCCCCATCCTCTTGTGTCCTTAAGGATATGGAGCTGCATAGGTTTGGAGTACATTAAGAGCATACAAGGCCTCACATCTCTTAAATCTTTAGTAATCGGCCATTGTCCAAGTCTTTCAGTAATAGCCAATTTGCCCAAACAGTGTCATTCTTTGAAGAGTTTGCGAATTGGCTATTGCGAGAAGCTGACTTCCTTGCCTTGCGAAATGTTTGACTGTTTTGCCTTCTTAAATAAGTTGGAACTTGGTCCGTTCTCGAAGGAGTTGGATTCTTTCCCGAGTCTCCAAGGCATCGAGAAGTTAAGGAACCACCTTGACTACTTGGACCTCAGAGGTTGGGATCATTGGGAGTCAATTGCAGAAGAAATACAGCACCTCACTTCACTCACTTCGTTAGTCATAAGTGGATTCGGAATGCGAGAACTGCCCGTGTGGTTAACCAACATGTCATCTACCCAACATTTAAGTTTCCATGATTACAACGGGCTAAAGAAAGAAACATGAGTTTCAATAATTGCAACTGATGTTACACTAAACCATTCAAAGTGTTAAATTATGTTGTATCGTTCATTCCTCTTGTTACTCACTAATACACTCTCTTCTAACTTTGTCCTCGCTTGTGATCTAATTGTACTGAGACATATGTCTTGTTCAATAAGAGACAAGTACAAAAGATATGTAAAAGTCCAAACATTAATTTTATAAATGTGATACTTACACTTTATACTAAATTACTAAATGTCACAAGACTCTTCTCTCACTTATTCCTACAACTATTGACTTTTATTTGTAATTGATGGACCAATTTTGCGACATTCAGTAGTGCTTAGTATGTTTTTCATAGATTGGACCAATTCATTGCATTATGGCTCTCATAACTGATTTATACTATACTACTAATATGTTGAATTGCAATATAAGATTTCAAAAATTCCCATCCTTCTTTGTGTTGATCTAAATAAACCATCGGTAGAATGTTCCTTAGGATTATACACTTATCACTACTGTCAATATTTTTAATTTTAATGATTTATTAAATTTAATATCTTCTAAACACAAATAACAGTCAAGATGTAATGTTTACACATGTGGGTTAAGAATTTATTGGATGATATTGGATTAATTGACACTCTTAGGAAATGGATATGTTGGGATTTGACAATAAAAGAGATAGCTACATAGTGTACTGCTAGTGACCACGGATTTCTATTATTTTAGCATCATTAGTGATTAAAATACCAAATTTCCAAATAAACTATCAAAGAAAAAACAAGTGAAATACAAAATCTGAAAACAAAAATCAACATGTAGTGTTGTATGTATTTCAAAAGGTGAGGGCACAACATAGACTTACAAATTAACAACACAAAGGTAAAATAAAACAAAAACATACATGTACATCTCTACTCTCTAGTTAACAGCTTAACCCTCGACTTTCCAATCCTCCATTTTATACCAACAAACTTCAACATATGTTGTAGGTTTCATACTACCAATAAACTTGTCACCAAAATATGAATGATTGTATATCATTGCTTCCATAAACCAACATTTTTAGACCAAACAAAAATGCTTACAAAAAAGAGCAGATAAATTTTTTTAACACTACTAAATTTCAATCTTGGTTTGAATATAAACAACTAAGAGCATAAGCTAGAATATCTTGCATTTTGAAAAATAATCTTATCTTATCAGGATCAAGGTCCCATGATGCATGAGACAACTACAGAGAGCGTTTTCCTTTAATACATGGAGAAAAAGTTATTAAAAAAAAAAAAAAAAACAGCTTCTAATCAACAACAATGGCAAGATCATAAATTAAGTGAAGCCATGTTTTAAGTTATTACAAATTTATGCATCCAAATTGGTACTCTTGCCTTGCAACTCCATTATTCAGACTAAAAACGTCACATAATCTACAACAACCAAAAGCAATGAGTGCTTATATAAAATTTGCACATTTTTATCAATTTATGAAGCCATGTTTCATTTTATTACAAACTTATGCAGCCAATTTGGTAAACTATAGCATAAACTGTTATCAATATGAAAAATGGCTACAGAGACAGGTAAAAAACCCATTTTTGTTGCATACATTAAAAAAAAGATGGAACTTCACTACAAAAATAAGTGTTTTACCATCATATTAAGAACATTAAAGAAAAAAATCATCCCAAATAGGCATGAATGAAAAGCCATATTCTAGCAATAGTCTGGTATTGATTCAATCTTTAAACTGCAAACTGAAAGTTATGTCACCTTCATCTTTGCCAACATGATCTTCATCCTGTTAAAGTCATTAAGTGAGGCTCTCTTCTTCTAGAATCAAGACAATGGCCTTTCTTCCACAAGAACTTCTCACCCACTTGTTCTTAGAATCTGCAGTTAATCAAATATTCAGGTATCTAAAAAGCCACAAGAACCCACCAACCAATAAAGAGAACATCATAAAAAGAATGCTAGACCCGGTTTCTTCCCTATAAACATTTCCGAAGTATCTATTAGCTCAATAAGTATAAAACCTAACATTTTGAAAATGTGTTGAACAACATAATCTTTTACTTCCCAAAACATTTCTCAAGTATCCTCCTACTAATTTGAACATGGTATAGATCAAACCAATATCTTAACCTCGCTCTGTGATATTCAAGATGTTGGGATTTCGCAACAGCCAAACGGCCTAAAAAATGAAACCTAGTTGCAACAGCTAAAGTATAAATTCTCACTATGAGTACTAATCTAACCCTTAGCTCAACAAGTATAAAACCTGACATAATCCCGCAGAAAATTCGAATTAGGGCTTCACAGGATAATGAAATCACACAAAACAGACGTATATTATAAAAGAAGGAAATCCAATGAAGCATATTCAAAAAATATCGAATCATTTAACTCTGAAATACCCTCACTTTGTATCCCCAAATCAGATTGCCAAAATCAGTCACAACACCCAAATGCCAAATAAAATTGGGAACAACGAGAAAGGTCTTACATGATTCTCGATAAAATCTGTAGATGAACAGGAAAAATAACACTAACCCATTTTTCTCGATGCTCAGATGGCGACATGGCGTATCTTCCTTGATATCGCTTGTGATTTCAATACCCGTTCTTTTAGAGGCATCTAACGTTTGCGAGTCTGCTGGACTGCACTTCGAAAAATCAAAACGAAATCCTAGAACAAGAAGATTAAATTAAAAATGGATTGCCGGAGGTGAATGAAGCACCGCGGTGGGGGTCCCTTCGCCCCATTGTCGAAAACAAAATTTGGATCTCCAGACTTGATGATTATGAAAAACATAAAACAAGATGAATATCTGAATTCGACGGTCTTCATGAATCTGCATACCCGATGAACACGAAGAAAACAAACCAAGATGAAGCAAGTTCATTTTTAGTTTGTTTGATTTTGGGTTAGGGATGTAAAAAGTCCTGTGGACCCCGTTTCGGTGAAAATGGGGTGGGCAGGGGCAACGTTAACCCCCATTTTAATTTTAGAGGTGGGGTGGGGTAGGCAGTCTCGTCCCGAAACCCCAAGGGGATCCTGTTAAAAAATTACACATATATTCACATATATTAATATTAATTATATAAATATAATTAATAATAACATTATTTTGAGCTTGCAAAAATAATAAAAAAAACATGTTTTTAAGTTGTTAGTATAATGTTTTTAAGATGTCATAACTTTTTTATTTTTAACATTTAAATTCTGCTATAAATAATTATTTGTTATTTAAAAAATAGTTTCTTTTACCCAAAATAAGAACTTCTTTTTGTCCAAAAAAAGACAGCTGAAAATCAATCGAGGGCGGGGTAATAAAGGTGATATGAGGCATGAGTGGGGGTAGGAAGGCTGAACATTTCAGGGACAGGGACGAGACGGAGGAACGGAGAAATTTCGGGGGCGGGGGCGGGGGATGCACTCCTCGTCCCGTTTGCCCCCGTTGACATCCCTATTTTGGGTTTTAATTCTACTTTGCTTTCACCAAATCAAGGGCGAATCTACTTTGGGGTCACGAGCCTTTTTTTTAATAAGGCCTTGACTTCGCTTTTTTATTGTGTTTTTTATATAAAAATTTTGATTATAAGGACCAAAAGTGTCAAAATGACTAAAAATTTATAATAAAAATAAAAATGTTTTTTTTGTGTATTTTATGCCAAAATGTTAAAAAAAAAATCGACTTCAATGACCAAAAAGGTTAAAGTGGCTAAAAAATTGTGACAAAAACCTAAAAAGTTATAGCTAAAAAATTGTGTTTTTTATGCTAAAATATAAAAGTTTTGACCTCAAAAACCAAAATATCAAAATATGCCAACGAGTTGTGACAAAAATCTTAATCTTAAAAAGGTCTTTATGCTAATTCTTTTGTGCTTCTGTATATATTTTAATTTTCATATTTTTATTTTTATTTATCTTCATACATGAAATAATGAAATAATGATACGTCCTTATTATGTCTATCAAAATGTGGCACGTATCATCATTTAAATGGTTAGGAGGATAAATAAGAAAAAAATATAAAAATATATTTAATTTCTCTTTATATTTATTGATCTTTTTCTTTATTTTGAATTTAATAAAAAAGTGTGTCCATGTGTTTGAATCTAACATACTTTAACATCTTTTTCATTTTAAATATCACATGTCACGTTCCTATTAAAACTTTTGTTCATTTATCTAATATTGATATTTGTATTAGGGTTTGTAAATATAAACCAATTATTAATATAACGGTAAATGTTTGATATTATTAGTAGCATTATGGGAAAATGATTTAGGAGGGTAACTACCTCTTATCCATGTTCACATATTGGCAACTTCTTCTTTTTTGTACATAAGAAAGCAACTAACTTGTTTTAACTGTTTAAATTACACCAATATTACATGCTAATATCTGTTTTAACCGGTAACTCAAAGGGAAAATGACTTAGAAGGGTAACTACCTCTTATCCGTGTTCACATATTGGCAACTTCTTCTTTTTTGTACATAAGAAAGCAACTAACTTGTTTTAACTGTGTAACATCCCAAAAATCATGACCAAAAATTTCGTTTTTAATTTAATACTAAAACCATAATCGTCAAACCATTAATTTAATACTCCGGCATCGGGCCCCGCCCGACATCAGGCCCCGCCTGGCATCGAGCCCTGCTCGGTATACAGATCTGTCTCGCTTAGGCCCCGCCTGTCTCCGGGCCCCGCCCGCTAAACACATACAATCATATAACATGCTAACACATAAAGAAACATACTCTACTGTATCCTTGTCCTAAGAAACATACTCTGCTAATAATGAGATACAAAACCTCGTCCGTACTCAGCTAGTTCCAGCCAGGCTTCAGCAGTGCAAGGTGAGTCTCCTCACTGTATGAATGGGTCTAAGGCCACAATGCCAACCCATGTAGTCTATGAGTAGGAAGACCCGAGGGTTAGCCCTAGGCATTGTATGCTAGTATGTTATTCCGGACCAAGGTCCGATGTCGGGTGGGTGCCCGAGGAATGTTTGCATGTTAGATTATACTTGTTGTCTGTGTGATACTTGTATGTGCCTGGTAGGGAGGTGAGTGTGGGCGAGGTCCCGTATGTCATCACTAGCTGACTACGGACGAGGTTCCGTATCTCATTATTAACAGAGTATGTTTCTTAGGAGAGGGATACAATAGAGTATGTTTCTTTATGTGTTATCATGTTATATGATTGTATGTGTTTAGCGGGCGGGACCCGGAGACAAGCGGGGCCTAAGCGAGACATATTTGTATACCGAGCAGGGCTCAATGCCAGGCGGGGCCCGATGCCGGAGTATTAAATTAATGGTTTGACAATTATAGTTTTAGTATTAAATTAAAAACGAAATTTTTGGTCATGATTTTTGGGATGTTACACAGTTAAAACAAGTTAGTTGCTTTCTTATGTACAAAAAAGAAGAAGTTGC